GCATCGAAGCTCTGTTTTCGTGACAAGTCTCAGCTGAAATGGCGATTGTGGTGGATGGGAGTGTGTTCGTCGAAGCTCTGTTTTCGTGACAAGTCTCAGCTGAAATGGCGATTGTGGTGGATGGGAGTGTGTTCGTTTTGAGGAACCTAGAGAGCCAAGAGTGCTATCCATTAAGCCTTCGGCATGTTTCTCACACGAAGGCTTATCCTTTAAGCCTTCGTGAGACTGCCCCAATTACAGCTTTGGGATCCTCTGGGCCAACACGGTGCAATATAAGGTGCGATGGTTTGTCTGCACACAAGCACTGCAACTTTGGACCAAAAGTTGCAGTCTTTCTTGAGCCAACTATAGTTATATTTATACATATACATATTTGTGGTTTGGTTTCAGCCTTCCACCTCAAAAACCTGCGCTGTTTTTGCTTGTTGCGTGCGGCAACTCGCTGTCCGCTCCGCCGCTCTCATGTTTAGCTGCCCTAAAGAGCAACCATGTTTTTTAAAGTAACTTGTCCACCGCCACATACTCAGGACTTGTGGTCTTCGAAGGAAACCACACTGAAAAGTTTTGGGGGCTCACCGGCAACAAGGAACATTCCAGGACAAACCACAACAAACTACAGAACATTTTCTGGGACTTGCTTGCCCATCACCTCCACCGCCCGCTGACGCATGGAGTTTTTTCCATCTCGAGGACTGTCAGGGCAGTCAGCCGTTTGGTTGACCGAAGATCTGGAGTTCCAGAAGTCCCGCATACCGTTCCATTGTGACTTTCTCTAATGTGGCCACATGGGTCATGCTAGCTATCTTTCCGATCTGTTTCATCAGGTCCTCATCTTGGTAGCAATGTTCGAACCTAAGCTTTCCAAACGGAATGGGTGAGGGAATCAAAATAATCATGCCTTGTAGGGAGGGAATGTTCCAAAAACAAAAGTTGAGCGAAAGCGAAAAAGAAACACTTAGTTTCTTTTGGTTAAGGAAACAGTTGTATTTGCCAAAGAACCGTGGGTTGCGCCTTGTGGTTTGGATGTATATTTGCATCTCGACAAAGCTGTGGAACTTTGGTGTGATCTTGAACGATCGGCGGCCGTCATTTCTACAGCGGTCCTGCGCAGTAAGCTGCTGGAAAAACATTAGGGCTGCCCATCCATAAGTCACCACCTTTTGACTTTCCTCCTCCGAAAACCATGGGCCGCCGACATCAAGAAGCAGCTGAAACTTCGCAAGCGCGTGCATGGTGAAGATTCGAAGGTCACCACCAACCACTCCATCACCCTCAGACTTCAAGTAGTCTGCGCACCAGAACATCAGCGTTTTTACGACTGATGCCTTGTAAATACCCTGAAGCTCTGGAGGATTGGACCATTTTTCCTTACCGAATCTGGAAAGATTGAATCGATGAGAACACATAGAAACCAAAGGTGACCGTTCTGCACACCAACCCTTGTAGTGTTCAAAGACCTCTCCGGACAACAGCGCATCCATTTGTTTCAGGGTGATGCCAGCATGTTTGGCTTCTAGGTGATCACAAATCAAAGAAGCGACGACCACGCCAGCTACACCTTGGTGCAGCACATGCAACAAGTCCTCGGCAGTGCTGAAAACTGGAATGTAAGGGGGTGAACTTAAAAGCAAAAAGGTCAACCACACTATATTGAAAATGGTTGCTAGTCCATGTAAGCAGCTTCCAGGTTTCGGTCTATAGTCCACCCCCTCACACACCTCCAGCTAGAACGCTTGTTCCAAGCACTGATCATCAAAAATTGCTCGTGCGTGAATCGCACAGACAGGCAGTGAGCCCATGGTCGAAGGTCTCCAAAGGTCCATTCTGGTCTGCGGCTAGCCATACAATGTTCACAGATCCAGGTTGAGTTGTAATACCTTTGTAATTTGTGAATCATCTGGCGAGCCTCCCAATCGCCCTTAAATCCAAAAAAGGCTCCTCGCCAGCCTGGTGCAAAAGGGGTTCCGGCCCTATGGTGTTCCTCTGATCCAGGACTGAATGGAACTCCGAATTCATCAGCAGCTGGGTAGAGGCCACTCTGGAGCGTGTCGCACATATATCCAACGAATTTCCCTATAGAGTCGTGTGTTTTCTCTTTCCAAACACTGCCTTCACGTACAGTAATGAAAACCAACTTTGTTTTCGTGCTGTGGCCTTTTCGACAAGCGCTGGAAAGAGAATATACCCAGCATTTCTGAGACCGGTAGATTTTGACTCCATCAGCGTGGAAATATAGTGGTATACAAGGGTGATTTTGCAAGTCCTGCAGCCCCAACAATTGAAAGAACGGTAGGTTCTGAACATGGGCCCAATACTCCACAGTTGTTTGTGCGGCAACACTTGGATCATCGCAAATCCACTGCTCCAAATGGCCAGATCGCCACAAGAAGTTCAGCGCATCCCAAGGCCAGAGGACAGTGGCTGGACCGTTGTCAAGGTAGGTTTCCTTTCCCCTTGCATCGGTGATCTTGAGGGGCAGATAGGTGGAACTTGGGTGAAGAGTGCATGCCATGTCAAGCCACCTGGTTCAGGGAAGTCCTACATCAACCAGGTGCATCTCAAAGTAAAGGGTGTCCCAAACTTTGAACCTCAAAGAACAAAAGTTCGTGGGATGCCTTGAAAAGGAGCGTTGGGCATGCCCTCCATCAAGCCACTTCTTCATTTCCAATGCCATGGGGCAAGTAGAGCCATCAGCAACGAGCGTACTCGCGTCCCTGCACCCATCAGTGGCTGATGTCGCCTGGGCCGGAGGAAGAATAGAGACCATTTGGGAATATGATGTAAATGGTACAACTATGTGTAAACATATCAATCATATCATGTGTATATAAATATATTTATACATGTTGGTTGAATAGGCCACTTCTTTTCGGAACTGATCATTGGCTAAGTGACACCGGAGCAGATTTTCCAAAGAATCCTCCTCGAAGAAGATGATGCTTGCGCCACCATACCTTGGGCGAGTGGGCTCGCTGGGCTAAACCACACATGGGCCTTTACACAAACAATCAGTTCTGTCCAGGTGCGCTTGGCATGGATTGAGCGATTGTGAGCACGAGGCGATCTGGATCGGCTTGGGGACCTGGCCGGAGTTTGGGGTCACCTCCAAAATATGGAGCCTTCTGTGCGAAGGCTGCTTGAAGGGATTGCCAGAAAT